TAAGTACATACACACATACACACACGTAGAAACGGCCGTTGTCCACTCGTAAATTAACCGATTCCGTTACTTTTATTTCATTATTCCACTCGGATGGAGCGTTTGGTGTTTGTACCTCACTTTAACCTCACTTTCGGAGTTTTTGTCAAGGTAAACAAGATTTTTCAACCTACGTTTCGTTTCCCTTCACTTTACAAAGTGTATTTTCAATGTATATAATTCAATGTTTTTGTTGGCAGGAATTTTTTGTTCTCGTGAGTGAAGTGTGAAAATAATTCTCTTAGAGCACGGAGAGAAAGAGAGAGAGAGAGAGAGGGAATACTGCCTCTCCATTTGTCGCAAAAGGATCTTTTCCACGAGGCGAATTACACTAACGGAAACAAACTTTTAAAATCTTTTATTTTAAATTTTAGTTCTGTGTATTAAGCGTTATAACGAGTTATTTATTTTTAATTAAGAAGAAAAGAGAACAAAATAAATCCCTTAGGTTTCCAATCCAATTAAAACTTATTTAAAAACGTAGAGCTGGTGTTTGCAATTTATCGCGTGAACAAGAAACAGGGTAATCGGTAAAAACAAACAAATATCTTAATGCACGAGCGTGCCAAGAATTCACCCGTGTTTTCAATGCTCGTAAATTAGCACTTCCCCTATTATTCTGCTCGAGCTATTATCCTACTCGAATAGTAGCGAGCGTGCACCTGTGTGTTTGCACACACAATTCTCCTTTCTTCTCTTCTCGGGGGAGAGGAAGTGAGAGAGGGGGAGAAGAGGGCCACTCTTTCCGAGTGACCGAGTTTTCGCCGAGCAAAAGCTGGAAAACGCGAATTTAATTGAGAAGACAAAGCGGGCAAAGAAAGGCCAGAAGGAATGAAGGAATCGAGGATTGACGGTTGTCGAAGGGAAAGGGAAGGCTAATTTCTCGGATATCGATTTTTACGCCACTGATTCTTGGATTGTCTTACTCGATAGATTGAAGTTATGGCGGTAATGAAAAGAGGATCTTAATTCGTAAGATTAAATCCTTAAGGGGGATTAAGAATTGAGATCACTTTTATCATTTCCATGCTACGTGAATTGGTAAAGAATCTGGATAGAAAATTTTTTTTCTAAACAGAAGAATGTTGAGATTCTACTCTTATTACAAATTTATTCTGTATATCTTTAAACACGTACATCTTATTGCGAATAATTAATTGGACGAAAAGCAAAGGGAAAATCTCCTAACCTAAAAAATTTTTGCATTTTATAAAACAGAACGAAAATTTTTCTATTCCCTTATTTACGATATTCACGAAATAACAAAATTAAAGAATATATTTTTTCAGGGGAAAAAGATAGCTCTCGCATAGATAGCTTCAACAAAATTGTTACATTTAATCTTGGCGATTCAGATACGATCGATTCAGTCCGATCGTTCCCAATGTAACAAGTTGGAAATTTTTTTGAAATTCACAATTGATGCTACTTGGGTGGAGGGGGAAGCGGAAGGAGGAGGGAAAGAGGAGGGAGAGGGGGGGAATTACGGGCGGAATGCGAAATTTTTCCACCAACGTGGCTTTTAAAGCGGAAATCTCATTTCGGTGTCGCGGCCACGTGCGCCGTATAAAGAATTCATACCGGAAACCGCTTTGCATCCTACTTTCCGGATGGTTACGTGGGCAACGTTCGATGAGCGGGCGTATCCTCGTGATAC